GACAGTGATGATTTTTTTCTAGTTCCATCCACTTGCCTTTAAATTTCATGATGTCATTTTTTTTTTTGCTGCTGAGTAATACTCAATTGTGTAAATGTACCACATTTTCTTTATCCATTCTTTGGATGAAGGCCATCATCCTGAGTGAGTTAACTAAAACCCAGATACAGAAACATGGTATGTGCTCACTTATACACTGGACATAAGATAGAAAGCAAATAATAACCAGGCTACACTCCACAGCCCCAGAGGAGCTAGTTCATAAGGAGGACACTAAAGGGACACGTGGATCACCCTAAGAAATGGAAATTGCTGGAATCATCTGAATAGACTGAGTGATGAGGACATGAAGGATTGGTGTCTCTCAGTTGGGGGAGGGATGGAGAGGGGGGGCAATGAAAGAAATATCTTGATAGAGGGGGTAATTATGGCATTATGGAGTAAGGGAGAAATCTGGTACCAGCAAAAATCCTTGGATTCCACAGGAATGACCCTGCTAAGATTCCTAGAGAGGGTGCCCGAACTAGCCTTCTCCAGTAATCATAAAGGTGAGTTCCCTAATTGTTTCATAGTAACTTCATCCAGTAACCCTGGAAGCAGATGAAGAGATGCATAGCCAAACACTAGGCCATGTTCTGGGCATCCAGTTGAATAGAGGGAGGGAGGAAGGATTATATGAGCAAGTGGGGTCTAGATCATGACAAGACAACACACAGAGACAGCGGACCTTTGGGAACTCAGTCAGTATAGATCAACACGTAGAAAGCCTGCATGGGACCTACCTAAGCTCCCTGCATGTGGGTGATGTGTAGCTTGGTCTGTTTGTAGCCCCTAACAGTGGGACTAAGATCTGTCACTGGAACAGGAGCTGTCTTTTTGGAACCTATTCCCTATGGTGGGATTAATCAACCAGCTTGATGCAGGAGGGAGGAGCTTGGTCCTTCCTCAACTTGGTATGCCATGCTATGTTGACTCCTATGGAAAGCCTTACACTTTCTGAGGAGTGGGTGTTGTAGTAGAGAGGAATGTTGGAGAGGAAACTGGATAAGAGGAGGGAGGGAAAACTGTGGTTGGCAATAAAATAAATAATTTAATGAAGAATAAAAAATAAATTGGATGAGCAGATACATTTTCTCCATTCATCTTCAAAATAGTTTTTACTATCATAGCAAGTACAAAAAGAAATGGTAAACATGAAATACAGAAATAAGGCTAGGAATGTGCCCACTGGTTGCAAACACCTTTAATTCCAGCATTCGGGAGGCAAGAGAGGCGGATCTCTATGTGATCTAAGTTAACCTACTATATATAGTTAGTTGAGATATACCAACAATACATGGTGAAACCCTGTTTCAAGAAAACCACAACAAAAAGGAATATTTGTAGTTAATCACACTATGGAGAACATGAAAGAGCCCTTGCATCGGAGACACTGTGGTTCTGACACAGAACTCAATACTCGTCAAAGAACCTAAAGTGAGCACCTGACCATCAGCAGCTGTGTTAAACAGTATATAGACCCTTATCACCAACATTTTGATCACGTAAAATTTTTATATTTTAAGCTTTAAGAAACCCTATAATTAACTTTAAACATTCTCACTATTGTTCCAGTTCCCCAAATATTTGCAGGCATTATAAAGCCCTTTTGCCTCAGGAAACTTTCCACCTTTCAGTTCAATGCATATTACTTCAACACTTTGTCACCAGAAATATACCAGGCTCTGCCTACTTAGCTGTTTTTCTCTTTACACTCTGTTTGTCATGCTTTGTAGTGCTATTTATTCGAGTTCATATTTGCTGTCAGAGGTTTGAAGACATATTTCCCAGGTTTCCAATATCCATTTATCCTAGCTTGTTGCACTGTTGCTGTGACTAAACACTGACCATAAGTAAAGTGAGGAGGAAGTTAGGCTCATGGGTTACAGTAAAGGGAGGACAAGGCAGGAATCTGGATCCCTCAACTAAAGCACAGACCCTGAATGAACATTGTCTACTGCCATGCTCCAGTTGACTTCTCCTACAGCCCTGCCTTGGGACAGCACTGCCCACAGTGGAATGGGCACTTCTACATCAATTATGCATTAATAAAATGCATAAATATTATAACAGCCAGCTAGTTTAATGGAGAGAAATATTTTAGTTAAGCTTCCCTTTAACTTCTTAATGAACTTTCGGTCAAGGTGATGAAATTAAATAAAAAAAATAATCACTTTGCACTCTATGGTATTTGCCCACAGAAAAAAAACTCATTCCTTTTTCTATATTTCTAAGATCAGGAAGCTACTCAACCTACATCAGATTGTTTTCATTTGCTTATTTGGCATTATAAAATATACTAATTTTAATGTGGTCACTCATTTGGTATATATAAAATAAGCCTATTGATATTTCAACATGCTAACATAATTTTGTTATGGAAGAAGTAAGTAAAACTCCTGATATCAGCATATGTATAGT